TACAAAATGGGCCATCTAGTATACAAAGGACAATTTACATAACAAGACAAACTGGAGTACTACTGATCAGGTCCCATTACCAGAGATCCCCTGCTTTTTCCTGATGCTCAGGAAAAACATCAAAGCAGCCCCAGGTTGAGAGAATGGCTGAAAAACAGGATATGCAGGACTGAGAGAAGCAAAGACAGCAGGGCCTTCTCTTAAAGCCTCTGCTTAAGATCTGACTCAGGCATATGAGGGCTCTGCCTGGTGTTTTACAGTTAACCAGTAAATGCTGTCTGGCCACGGAGGTAGCCCAGGGGGTGCAAGGACCTAAATGCCTGGTCTCAGAATTGGAGGAGCCAGGGCCTCCCCTTCTCTAGAAGTTATGCCTGGAGCTGACTGAAGGGGAGTACTCAGAGAAACAGTATAAAAACTGGGGATCCTGAGCAAATACCCCCACTGTGGAATCTGTGACAGCTAGGTAGCATTGGTGTCTGGTACCATGGCAGTTGTGTCATCTTAATAGTTTACCATCAGTTTTAGCAATCTGTTATAAGTAACCAGAACAAAGAGGAATTCCTATAATCAGCATAAAGTGAACAGAGATCTGGTTATAATTCAGGAACTCAAGGCTGTCTACAGTTACAGTCTTCATGAGACAAAGCATGCTGGCCTTCAGTGTAGTGTAGGTAGCAATAATGTCCATGCTTGTATCCAGGTGAGCACTTAGTGAGACACGACATAGTAACTTTGGGCAATGCAGATTAGGTTCAGTCTGGCAACTAGAGCTCCAGGCTTTGTGTCCTGCAGCCTCATTAAAGTTGTCTGTTTATATTTATTATAAATCAAGTCCTCCCTCTTCTGTATTGCACTTAGCTCTTGAATTAAAAGAAAATCTCTATTAATTGCAGCAACGTAAGGTTTATCCTCCCTACAAGCTTGTCACTAGGAATTCACATGCCTTTGAGCAGGTCTGATATTCCTTTTAGCAGAGGGCTATCACTTCATTCCCTTCTCTGTTACACTGGATATTACCTCCATGGCAGATAGCTTAATAACCTATTTCAAAATGGTATTTTGTCTCAGAAATAATGGAATAATTTTTTCTTTGTTACATATAAAATAGCCTTGAAAACATTTTCAGTGATATTTTGCAAGCTTCTGTATCTTTACCAAAAAGAGACTTTTTTCCTTTAAGATTGTATGAAATTATTTACAGTGATAAAGCTGAAGGTGAACAACAGTGCTTTGCAACTCTGTGGCAGATTTCTAGTGTGCTCTGCACCTTTCATTTCTGAAAATCATCTTGCAACTGGCTTCTCCTCAATTATGTTTTATGTCTAACATCTTATATTACTTTGGGAGCTCAGCTTACTACTCTCCTGTATGTGCCCTGACATTTCTCCTCCATAAAGCTTGTTGCACTGGAAGCTGACATGATTTAGTATCTGAAGAAGTAGTTTGTCATTTACAAATTCTCATGCCTCTGAACCAGTTAGTTTCCAAGGGTGGCCCCTTTCCTCTGCATGGACTTCTAAGGAAGCAACCTCAATGAGTAAATCAATTTATGGGAGACATAGTGAGCGCAGCAGAAGTGTGGATACCTACATGGATACCTACAAGGAGCATTGCTTTTCAGGCCAGCATATAGGAATTTGACTTGAAAACGATCCATGTGAATCACTGAACCCAAATGCTTTATTTTTCCAGAAGAACAAAAACAAAAAACAGTTGCAATAAATCATCGTGGACAGAAGGCAGAGTAGAAACTGAGAATGGTGTCCCCTAAAGTCCCTATGGATCCAAGGAGCCTTTTCCTACCTTTTTATTCCAGAATCCCCTTAACTTAACACATCAAATTGAAACAGAAACTTGCACCTTCAGAGCCAGTGAAGGTAAAAGCTTCTTTACTATATCTCTATGCAGATGCCCCTTAAAGTTTGAGTCAGGCCTGTTGCTACCAAAGTTTTAGGATAGCATGGATTCAGATCTCAATCAGGATCTTGGACCCTTCCCTAATCAATGCCATATTAGGGCCTGGATTGCAGGGTGGTGACACTGTGGGGCCAAGGCCCTGAGGCAGAGCTGCAATCTACTCCCATTACATCCCTGCCTTGCAGGAATATGTAGGCAGCGGATCATGGCTCTGCCCAGAGCCCTGGTCCTGCGCTGTCACTGCCCTACAATTCCAGCCCCAACCCCAGCCCTACCCACCCATCCCGCTCCTGGATGCTGCTCCCCATGGGCCCATCCCATCTGTTCGGCCAAGCGCATCCTGCCCACATGGGTCCCATGGAGACCCTACCTGCCCACCTACTCCATCCGGCATCCCTGGTAGTGCAGGGTAGATGAACTGGCGTACCCAGGCAGTGGGCCTGGGTCTGCCACAGTGGCGACACTGGCAGCAGCAGCAGGAAGGAGCCACCACCACTGGGGCTACTGGGAAGTGAAGTCTGGCTGCCGCATAGCCCCAGGCACTTGCATGCCTGGAGGCGGTGGGACTGGCTGCATATGCCACAGCCTGGGCTACCCCCCCACTTGGGCTGGGTTGGGCAGGGCAGGACAGGGTGACCCATCGCAGGCTGGATAAAATCCCTTGGCTGGTCAGATCCAGCTGTGGGCTGTATTTTGCCTGCTCCCGATGCAGTTGATGGCACACTGTGAGATATTTTATGCATATAGATTTGAGAACTCTGGTTACTATGTTCATGTGTACTGTGCTGCCTGAAGACAGGTAGATGGATTTGCTGGTGTCTGAATAGGTTTCCTTAGAAACCTATTCTTTGTGTTCCCCACATTCTAGTATAGCAGATAGGTCATTTGTGCTGCTATATTCTTCCACCACTACGAATCTGTAAAACAGGCACCAATTCTGCTCTCTCTAAAGCAATTGCAAACTGTAATAGGAGCCATATTTCAGTGGGGACAGATTTAACTTCCACAGATAGCAGGTCAAGCCTATAATTTGTTGGAATTTTACTCTGTCTTGATTTTAGTATCTGTAATTCCTTTGGAAGACTGTTCACATATAACATTTCCAGCACCAGATTCCTTTATTGTTGGATGTTTTCTGTAGGATCCTAATTTTCTATGCATAGTGCAAGACATGTAATCTTACAGGCCCCTTATTCTGACACGTTCAGGATTGAAGCTGATTTCCAGAAGGATGCATTATTTATGCCCTCTACCTACCTAGATTTCTCAAAACTACATGCTTTGGGTGTTTTTTTTTCCCCCCTGGGATCTCTCTACCCACCCAGGAGCATAGCTTCCAAAATTCGAGGAGTGGAAATGAAAGATAATTAATTTGAATGAGATTTTATCAAACACTTATTCCACAGCTAGATAGAAAAAGAAAAGTAAATGGTCAAGAGGTTTTCCAGAAACCAATAAAATAATGTTACTGTGAGTCCATGACAGCTTATACTGATTTGTCAAGGTATAAAATGGCTTAGTTTCCCAGGAGTAATGTTTCATCATGGTGTCCTTGCAGGATTTTTTCCTTCATTATTCCAGAGGCCTTCATTTATACGTGGCTAGATCCCTAACTACCCCCAAAATATTGGGATTTGACAATGTTAGATAATATTGAAACATTTTGTAAAATGCCTAAATGATACAGAACTGAGCTCTGCATATATCAATAGTTATCCCTGCTGGGATCGTATTGTCAAAGGAATCAAGTCTCTCCTTGGAAACTTTCAGGTATACTGTGCATGTGGTGAGCCAGTAATAAACCAGTGTGAGTTCATGCGTGCACACACACGTGCATATAAATGACTACTGAAAATCTTTGAATATTATTGTCCAGTCCTCCTTGTGATGTTACTCAGATAGAGCAATTGGTGGCTATGTGCGTCATCAGCCTGTGCATGGTAAAACAGCACTGTCAGTGTTGTCTGCTGACTCATCTGGGTTGTACATCAAGGAGGGCTGAAAGAACAGGGGCCTAGAATCATAAAAATAAAATTGAATGCTGGATGCTCCCCAACATGTTGCCATGTCTATAGGATGATAGAGCATAAATCAGTGTGTGTGTGTGTTGGCATGTACATAGTTGGATATTTATCTTGCCAAAACTGAATTCAGTGCTTACAATAACTAATATGTGGCTTGAATGCTAAGCATCATCAGCTGAGAGTGGATGCCTTGCTATTGACATTGCTGTGGACATCTCCAGCTGTGCTATACCACAGCTCATCCTGCCCACCGACTTCCCCATCTAAATGCATTTGTTACCATTATTTTTATTCTTGGCTAGGCTCAGAAGAGGAAGACCAGCAATGGGCTCCTCAGTAACCTCGGGGGTTCAAGGTGGGGAGACCGAACTGCCTCTCCCCCTCCGCTGCTCAGCCGGGGAGTACCAGGCGCGGGCGAGACACGCTCTTGGCACGGAAAAGGAAAGGGGGTGCAACGCGACAAGGGGCTCTGCGAGACCAAATGCTAAGAGGCGACCAGCCCTCTTTAATCTGCTGCTGCCTAACATCGAGTGGCAACAAGGAGATGCTTGGATAAAACCCGGGAGACGCCTCAAGTGCCACGTGGGAAGCTGGACGAGGCCCCTTGGGTAGATGCCATAGCTTTTAGCAGACCAACTACAGCGTTGGGAGAACTGTTCTTTGCAAGCTTCGGGGTACCACAGACACCTTCTTCTGCAGGCAGAGCCGGAGCTTGCAGGGGCTTTGTGCTCTCCTGGACGGGAGGGAGGCAGCCCCCGCACCGCCAGAGCCTGCAAGCTCCCAGACTCCAGCTGCTGGGCATGAGGGACCAGGCTCTCAACCTCCCTCCTGCAAACTGAGTATAGCCCAGGGGTATCTACCCCCGTGCAGGCCTCAGTGCTCAGGGAGGGAGGCCCCGTGCAGCTTCCCCGCGCTCTGGGGCGGCCCCGGGGCTCGAACCCGCGTCTCCCGCCAGGCGGCGGCTCCGTGCAGAACGTGACCATCCCCCCCCCGGGGAGGCGGGCCCTGCCTCGCGACGGACA